TCCCTTGGACTTGACTTTGTTTTTCCAAGAGCAGCATTGAGCAAGGCTTACCTCTCTGAGTTTGTGGGCATTGTTGGATCAATGGATACCATGCAATTGTCCACTGTCAAAAGGGAGATGGTTGTGTTCCTGAAAAGTTTCAAAGAGGTTTATTTGACCTAGAAATGTTGGCTGAGATTTTGTACTGCTACTTATGGTACATGGCCATTTTCTCTCATGCAGCACTCCCATTCTGGCCCTGCCCTGTCTCATACCTGTTAAGCCAGAGGAGTCAACACACAGGACAGACTAAGCTTGATGTTTCATCCCTTTCAATTACCATAAATGTTTCTGACAAAATATTAAATGTGATCATCTCTGATATAGCAGCAAACTTTGCTCTCTGCTGGTTTATGTATTCTGTTGAATCACCAGCTAATGACTTCTATGAAGGAGCTGCGTACAATGACATATTGACTAGGCAGTTATATACTAACTTACATTGCAGAAATGATTATCAGGGCTATGAATATCTTGAAATTGTCTGGAGAACATATTGTATTACAGAAGCAAACAAAACAAAAGTCTCTCTAAATAAGGGCCCTTTTTTTTTCATTATCCAGGGCTAAGTGTGATCTCATAAGCTTGGATGTAAACCCTGGTGTTCTCCAGGAACCTAACATGTACAGTTCTTCAGAAGTCTCTCCTGAAAATGAAACATCAAATATAGAGTGATCATGAATGCCCCCACATTTGCCTGGATGATGGAGTAGAAATATTTGACATCATAGGCAAATGAGAGTTATCAACTTCTCTAATGTCAAATGGAAGGAAATAGCAAGCTTGAGCAGGGCGTTAATTCTGTCCAGTGACTTACGCACATTCTGAGTCAATATGGTCCAATTTTTACTTCAACACCCAGAAATAGAGTCATGCAATAATCTATGATGCAAAACTTGGCCTATTTTTCGTGTGCATTTTTGTGCTGTAAATCTGTATATACAAAGGTAAAGGCTATGGCTTATTGCTTGCTGTTGTGCACTTGGCCTGTGCTGCTCAAGACCCATAGACAGGCAACAACTATCCTTTTCTAGGTGTGGATTTGTGACCTGGTTAAAGGACTGTCTTTCCCCTGTGCTACTGTCCTGGACAGATAGTGTAGAAGTGACTGTACCAAAGGGCTCTTTCAGGCCCTTTGCTCCCCATCTTATCACACAACTACATCCAACCCAGTATTCCTCTGGGAACACTGGTTTAAGTTGGAGGATACTGTCTGCATGGAGGAAATAAACTCTTCTAGAAATCTGAGCAGGAGAGATGCATCAAATTTACAGGATAACATAAATTGGAAAAGATGTGTCTCAGCCAATGGATTTGGAATATTTGTTTTCTATGAATATAGAATTTGTTGTGTTTGAATATCCCGTGTGTTTGAATATCTATGATTAGATTGTCGTTTGTCTAAATATAAAGCTTGTCACTTAATGGCAGACTGTGATTCTATTCTATTCCATTCCATTTCATTCCATTCCATTCCATTCCACCCCTTCCCATCCCATCCCATCCCATCCTACTCCATCCCATCCCATCCCATTCCATCCCATTTTGCTCTTTTCAGTGTACTCAGCATAGAGGTGACTATATCCCTGTGAGTGCCTCATGCACTTTTTCGATTGATGCTATGTTGCCCCAATTTCTTCTTCCACCAAATTGGAATGAGAGCAAAACCTGAATAGATCATTTTGGGCTTGTTTCTGGATTGTCCCTAAAAGTAAAGGAACAAAAGTGAAATGAATGTCACAAATGAAAAGAGAGACCTACCTTGGTAATCCCGTTGCGATGCAGAAGAGATCCATAATATCTTTGGAGTTACAGTATTTACTAAAGATCACCTTCCAAAATGAACAGCAGCAGGGGAAAAATGAAGACAAAGGAGAGAAAGGACAGTTAGTTCCCAGTGAGATATGAGTTCTATTCAGGTGTGAACTGGGCTAATTTTAAGGATCATCTTATTATTTCAATTATCTGATTTGGCTGTGAGCTGGAATATTTCTCTACTTCTGCTTTAATACCTGTGCTTTTAGATAAAGAAAGAAGGCTCTGGAGACCTAATTGTGCTGTTCAGAAGTGGAGCAATAATGTATGTGAGTTGACAGCAAAAGGTATCTTGTAATACTGTAGAGCTGCAGGATGATAACAACCACAAATTTCAGAAAGGAGCAACTCAGATTTAGGAAGAAAACAACATGGATTTAGGACGGTCCTTGGATGGTATGAAAGGACACTGCTATATGGATTACACCAGCTTAAGCCGGTTTTGAACAGAACATTTTTTTTTTGCTTACACTTGTGCCAAATTCCCTGCAGCCTAATGGACTGCGTTGTTCCTGATGTATGGACAGAATTTGGACCTTGAATTCTGAAATTTGTCACCTTCTTCATCCTATTCTTACTCTGTACACCTGCTCTCCCATGCATACCAGGCAATCCGTGAGTTGAGAGCACAGTTCGAGCTGGAAAGGCAAGCACCTGTAGGTTTGGAAAGGCCACCATTAAGTCTGCGAATGCAACTTTAACTTGATCTCTTTGGGAAACAGCCTTTAGTGACACAATCCCATGGTATGATTTCTCCCAGACTCCTGCTTCCTTCAGGATACATGCTGATGGTTCTCACTGATTGAGAAACTCTTCAGGGTTGTTCTTGGTGGCCAGAGAGCCTGTCTGAGTATAGTTTACTGATTATGGCAGAGGTTTTGAAACTGCTGTGGAAATAAAATGCCTCACTGTAGTTGTGTCTGGCTCATCTCCTCCAAGCCAAAAACAATAGAGAACAGTGGGTCTTATTTGTTTGGAAGTTGCGCAAGTCAATGGTGTGGCCGCAGGCTACAGAGGCCAATTTGTCATGGCAGAATGGGGGAGGCTGTGGTTTGGAGCAGTGGTTTCCCTGGGAAATTGCAGACCTCAGCTCCCTTGCAGCCCCCAGAAAAAATAAAAATAAAACATATATAATCATAGAACCTTAAAGTTCAGGATAAAATAGATCAGAGAGACTCACAGAAACCCATTAACTCATCTATAATAAAACCCATGGGGCGGTAAGAAAGTGATGTTTTGTGGATGATAACTGAGGCACAGGTTGATGAAATTAAAAAGTCTCCTCTCCTTGCAGGTGCCTACTTGGAAACACTGTATTCCAAACTGCATAATGATTCTTCATATCTGATATTTGCAGGCATAATTTCCATTGCTTTTCACTGCAGGCGTGAGTTCTCAGCTTGTCTGTGGATCAGACTCAAAACTGGTGACCCAGAAAATGAAGAATGTGTCACCGGGGACTGCCTTTGAACAGCTTATTTTCGCTGACTTGCCTCATGTCAGTTCTGAATTCTGGGGCAGTCTCTGTGAGAGAAGCCAGTTCTCAAGAACGGTGTTCAGCTACTCTGCTCACAGAGCCTCACTGGCGGCACCGCAGTCTCCTGCCACCTCCGTGACAAAGCCTGAAAGGAGGAGGCAGGGTCTCCAGACAGCCAGTGCTGCTGCCTCAGTTCCCTGACTGACTTAGCTGAGCGGTGTCTCTGCATTCAGTGAGGCAAGGACCATGCTGGAAGAATAACCCAGCATCATGTAATTAAAGACCCTTTCCAAGTGCATTCATGCCAGGAGAGTGCGGGTTATTTAATGCTGGAGCTTCACTCTGGCAGACTTAACCTTTGATTTCTAGGTCATAATAATGCTGCGGGAACATAGTCCTCATGTGTCGCTTCCAAGACATCATTTAGAAACCAACAGAAGTCCCTTAGCTGGCCTGGACCCCAATCCTCTATTTCTGGCAGCACTGAGGGCTGTGGGATGCCCTACTCAAACCTCAGCTGCCAGAGCAGGCAGAGATCAGCAGTAGGTTGTTGTGCCCTGGCAGACCATGGTAGAGGCCATGAGAGACTGCACCAGCCTCTGGAGAGGCTGTGATACAACAAGGACAAGTGATCTGCCTCTCTCCTCTGGTTGAAACCTGTCTCCATGCTGCTATTCCAGGATTGGCTTTTCTACACCCTGTCTTCTTGTCTCGGCAGTGCTTCAATTCATCATACCCACCCCAGCCTTCTTGCCCAGACATCCCTAGTCTGCCCTCAAAGCCCAGCTCCATGCCCTAGATATGTAGCCTAAGCAATCCACAGTCTAGGTGGAAACTGATATAATCATGACTTTTGCAATGATCCTCAAAGTCTTTCCTTCTAAAATATTGTCAGAGTTGTCAGAGTCCTGACAAAACAGTAAGATCTGGCCATTCTGGTCAGTCCTATCAAGAATGAGGTGTGCTCTGCTAAATACAAGGCACAAGCTTTTTCAGTTTTGATGCTAAAGCGATAGTTCAGATCTTTGTTTTCACAGGTAGATAAAAAAATCCTTTTATTCTTTAAGTGTGTGCTATGGTTTTTGTGGCCTAGAAGAACACATTTCTGACCTCAAGAGAAGGTTATGACTGATACATAAGTTTATAACTATCTTCCCTTTTTTCCAACCTAGATAAAATTATACTAGATAATATATTCAGGTTATAAAAACTCAAGGCAGATGATTGTTGAGATAGTTAATAGCTTTAACTTGGGAAATGGGTGGGATTAAAGACTGGTGTGTCCCAAAAGGCTGTTCTGATAATCACCACAATGATTCACCCTTGTTTATTAAGATCAGTGGCAATCAGAGCAATAAAGCATAGTTAATCAAGTTCAGATAGGACTGAAACCTTGCTTCTTCCAGAACAGAGCAGTCTGTTGGAGTGATAGCTGCTAAAATTGGCTGGCAGAACATTGGAAGGCTGTTTTTGTGCCAACGACTGATACATGCAATAATTGAGCAGATGATGTTAATTGTGGCTGAACACAAGGAAAAGGCTGTGATGTGCTGGGAGTGTTATTTCAGGTAGTCAGATTTCTTTTTCTGGAAATCAATTATTATTGATCAGGACAGATGAGAGAGGGAAAGATTAAAAATAACTTTAAAAAAGGATTAAAGGTTAGAAAGTCAGCCTGACTCATAGAAAGCAGTAGGAGCTTTCGATGCATTAAAGTTGAATTTTAATGCTTCCTTCTATTTCATGTAATAGTTTAAGTGTGGGAAGCAAAACAAAGAATGTAGATATTATTTTGTGATTGTGAGCTACCTCTGTACATGCTTTTTAGCTTTCCCAAACTTGACATTTTTACTGAATTTTGCTAGAAGTGGATTTGTGAATCATCTGCTGTATTTTGATACTCATCTCAGGATGAAAATGGTTATCCTCCGCTGTTCTTCTTTAATTAAAGAGCATATGTTACTGAAGTTCTCTTTTGCAACCTGCTGACCAACTTCCTTCAGTTTAAAACAAAGCAAACAACCTCAAACATTTTCCAGCAATATGCAATTGTTCCTGTTATTGCCTGCAGGTTTATGTTCCCAATAAAGTCAATGTCAGCTGTGCGGATGACTTCAGTTGGAATGTATTTTGGAGAAGGGAGAGGACAGCCTTCATACTGTGTTCTATTGACGGTTCCAGAACAGTATAGAAATCCTATTTGCTGAAAGTCCATTATCATTTCAGGGACATTAGCACCATGAAGCAAATTTAGTGACATTTGGCCCGCAGTCATACTTAACCCAGATGGGACATGTGGTTTCTCCCATGACCAGGGAGGGTGGTTAACCAGCAGTGTTGAGAACAGCCAACTTCCATGTGATGAAACTGTTCCTATTCTGTCCTCTTCTCTGTGTAGTCCTACTGGGAGGTGAAGCAAGCATCTTACCCAGTCTCATGAAGGTGTCCTTCCTTGGGCAGGTGCCCTGAAGCCATTGCTGTTTAGGTCAGGTTTGCACGATGACATTTTTCTGGCACTCAGAATTTGTGGTCCTGCTCCAAACTCACCAGTCAGCACACAGAACTGCACACAGGCCCTTCAGACCTGCCTCAGCTGCTTCTAACCACAGTCATCTTCTTGCTTGGGCCCTCTCTTTCTATCCCAGGGTGGCAAGCCAGTACCAAGACATGTCTTGCAGTGTCTCATCCCCTGCATTCACGCACAAGCTAGAAAAGATCAGTGTTTAGAGCAGGACTGAGACCTTGCTACAGAGTGTAACCAAATATATGAGACATCAATTGCTTATAGAAGTGTGACGGTGGGCTAAGACCACTCATGTGAAGGGCACAGAGAAGTTTTTTGCATAACATGCAACCAAAAGATGAATAGTTTGACACAAGCCAGTGCAGCCTGAAGAAGCCAGGAATGTAGTTCCTGACACTCCTCATACAAGGAAAACCTGGACACAGGGACTCTAGTGTTGCTTGGAGGTATGTGTCCTGCAGGATGGGCCAACACAAGGTGTTCAGTCACCAGTGTCATTTCTGTAGGAAAGGTAGAGCCCAAATCATATAAGAATAGAGTCGCAGAGGAGACAGACCACATTAGAAACGGAGACAGAGGCCCCTGCTTCAGTTTGCAGGTGAATGATGAGGGAGGATCTTCAGGTTTGCCAAGAGGATGATCAACCAGACATAAATCCTACTAATTGCATGTCACTTAGATTTGTGACAGGAGGAAAAGAACATATTCTTCTTCGATGATGCAGAATGTGCAATTTATTTCCCCTGTTTGAGCATTAATATTTAATATTTTGGCCCTTGTTTCCCCTTACTAGTAAAGCTTCTACCACATTTAGAAAAATGACAAGAAGGCTAGTCCCTCCTGAATGCTTAGCTTGAAAGTTTTAGTAAGTCTCCATCAAAACTGAGAAGTAGCCATTTGATTGACTATGCAATGCTGTCTGTCTGCCTTGGAGAGTAACATGAAGGGGGAAAAAAAAACCCAGAATGAATAATAACTGAGATTTTTTGGACTGGAAATAATATTTTGATGAAGCA